ATGATCACGGGAATGTAGATTAGAACTGAAATGGCACCCAGTGTGACATCCGCATCTTATTAATGAAGACGCCGAGGAGCAGTGATTCCAAGTAACTTGTTCCAGGTCACCCCGAGGTGGTTAAGTGACTGAGCCAAGATTTTAGTTGAGACCCTTTGATTTTAAATCCAAGGTTCTTGAATGTAAGCTCTTTGAGGGCAGACACTGGTTTTATTTTGTTCTCTGAATTTCCCAGCTCTTGGCATAGCTCAGCATATTGTAGGAGCTTAAAAAATGCTTGCTCTGTTGAATTAGATTGAATAGAAAAGGGCGTTATCTGCCTTAGTTGAGAGTTTACAACTAAAATTCTCTTTGACATTAAACTTCTGTGTCTGGCACATAGTGGGTACTTAATAAATACTTACTGATTATGAAATACGTTCCTTGGGATCTGTAACTTCACAATGTAGGGATTTCAGTTTACTCTGACCTCTAAATTCTAAAAATATAGACCTAGGGTCATTTTACCTGATGCAACACAACAGAGCAAGCTGCCTGAGAGCCAGGGAGATTTGGATTCAAGGCCAGTCTCTGACCCTTTTATTAGACAGACAGGAAACAATTTATGAAGTGCCTACTGTGTGCCAGGCACTGGAGATACACATTCCCTGCTCTGAAGAAGCTCACAGTCTAATAGGGGAGACAACAAACATATATCTAAAAAACTAAATACAGGATAAATAGAAAATAATTAAGGGAGGAGAGACATTAGAATAAAGAGCATTGGGGAAACCTGCAGAAGAAGGGATTTTAGTGTGGACTTAAAGAAAGCCCTTAGGCAGATATGAGGAAGGAAAGCATTGCAGGCATGGGAGATGACAGAGAAACTGCCCAGAGCTGAGAGATGGAGTATCTCATTTGTGGAACAGCCTGGAGGCCAGTGTCACTGTATCCAAGAGCACACATTGGAGGGACAGGTGTGAGAAGACTGGAAAGAGAGGAAGAGGCTAGGAGAAAGGGCTTTGAATACCAAACAGCAGCTTTTGTATTTTATTCTGGGGGTGATAGGAAGCCACTGGGGTTTACTGAATAGCAGGTAGGGATGACACGGTCAGACCTGCATTTTAGGAAAATCACTTTGGTGACTGAATGGGGGGTGGATTGGAGTGGGGAGAGACTTGGGGCAGGCAGACCCATGAGCAGCTATTGTAGCAATCAAGGTGTGAGGTAATAAGGGGCTGTACTAGGTGGGGATAGTGTCGGAGGAAACAAGGGGGGCGTATTTGAGAGATGCTGCTGAGATGAAATCAACAGGCCTCAACAACAGCTTGGACATGGGAAGTGAGAAATAGTGAGCAGTTCAGGATGACTCTTAGAGTGTGAGCCTGAAGGATTGGGAGGGTGGTATTGCCTTCTGTAGGGAGCAGGGAAGGTAGGAGGTGGGAAGGGTTTTTTTGTTTGTTTGCTTTTAATGGAAGAGAATACTGAGCTCCATTTTGGGCATGTTGAGTTTACTATAGCTATTGGATGTCCAGTTTGGGATGTGTGAAAGGAAGTTGCAGGAGCAAGAAAGCAGAGAGATTGAGGCAGGATAGGTAGACTTGAGAATCATCAGCATAAACATGGTGATTAAATACATTGAGGCTCAGGAAATCACCCTGTGAAGTAGTCTAGTGGGAGAAGAGAAGAGGGTGCAGGACACTGCCTTATGGGACACCTACATCTAGAAAGTGTGATCTGGAGGAGAACCCAGCAAAGGAGACAGAGAATGACTGGTAAGAGAGGTAGGAGGAAAACTAGGTGAGAGTGACTTCCTGAAAACCTAGAGAGAAGAGAGTATCAAGGAGGAGAGAGTGATCAACTGTATCATAGAGTGCAGAGAGGTCAAACAGAATGGAGATTAGGAGGTAGCCACTGGATCTGGCAAGTAAAAGAAGATTGATAACTTTCAAAAGATCAGTTTCAGGGCAGCTAAGTGGTGCAATGGATAGAGTACCAGCCCTGAAGTCAGGAGGACCTGGGTTCAAATCTGGACTCAGACCAAATACTTGACACTTACTAGCTGTGTGATCCTGGGCAAGTCACTTAACTTCAATATCCTAAAAAATAATAATAATAAAAACATAAAAGCTAAAATGCATCAATAAAACTTTTTTAAAAAGTCAGTTTCTGTGGCTTGGGAAGATAGATTGGAAAGGACTACAAAGAGAGTGAAAGGGAAGAAAGGGGGCACCTATTGTAGATGGATTTTTCAAGGATTTTAGGTACAAAGTGAAGAAGAGAAATAGGATGACAGTGGAGATGGAAGGATCAAGTGGGAGTTTTTACAGGATGGAGGAGACATGGGCAGGATTCTAGGCAGCTAGGAAATGAGCCAGCAGAGAGGGGAAGGTTGAAAATTAGTAACAGAGTGGAGATAGACAGAGGAAGCAATTAATCTATTTGAGGAGATAGGATGAATGAGGTTGCTTGAACATGTAGAGGGGTTAGCCTTGGCAAGGAGTAAGACCACCTCATTATGTGAAACAGGGGTGAAGGAGGAAAAAGAGGCAGAAGGTATTTGAATGACAGGAGACAAGGAAAAGGGGAGAAGAGGGAGCACATGGCCAATGGCATCAAGTATTTTCTGTAAAATATGAGGCAAGGATCTCAGTTCCAAGGGTGTAGGGAGGTTTGAGGAGGGAGAAGACTATAAGGTATAGAGAAGGTTCCTCGCTTCATTGGAAGAGAGAATTCCTTACCAAAAGCTCCCAACACTAAAAATTCCCAGGTCTCTTCTCAAGCCCTAACCTTCATATATATATCCTACAGATCAGAAACCTTTTGCTTAGTATTAAGAGTTAAGGGACAGAAAGTTGCCTTTGAGGTTGTAAGTACAATCAAGTCATCACCAAGTACTTATTAAATGGTTATTATGTTTCAGGAACTCTTCTAAGCACTCAAAGTACAGGTGCAAGGTACCTCAGTGACAGCAACCCAAATATCTTCTTCTGAACAGAAGAATACCTTAGGGGGCTCCCAAAGTGATCCCTAAGGGTTGCAAAGCACCCCAACTGTGAAAAGTGATTAAGAACACTAACACATTTCCTATAACTAAAGAATTAACTCTGATTCCCCTCCAGCTCAGTGACCCTGACTTTGTATGTGTACTATTTAGGTTTAGAATGTTTTCAACTGGAAAAAACCAATTTGTCTGTTTCTCTTACAATGGGACTGAAGGGTGTTAAGTAGAAATACACCGTACTTTCTTCCATTGGGTTGGTAATTAATTAGGCTGAATATTGCACTTTTCCTCACTTTATAAATGTTATTTTCAACTCATAGAAGTAGCCCCTCAAAAGTAACCACGAGAAAAAGTAATTGCTCTTTTTTTTTTAATATGGGGCTGAATGGAGAAGGAATATCGCAGAATAAAATATTAGTCAATTATATCTGAAACTATTTAGGGAAGCTAAACTCCCTAAATGAGGCTAATGGTGATTCCATTATAAATCTTATTTTATAGGGTTAAGACTTGGTCACTTTAATTAACTTCAAGCAGAAAGTTGGCATACAGAGCCTGTGTGGGAGTTGATTTTATTCTACCAAATAATTACCACTAGCTAAGCTCCCCTAGCTCTTCGGAGGTCAGAGAAAGGTGCTCCTGGGACTCTGAAGTAAAGGTTAACATCAAAATTCAAACAGTAGATCCTGGCAAAGTTAAGAGTATAAATGAGACCAACTCAATTGCTTTAAAACCACAGTTGATATGTTGATGAAGGAGCCACGAGATTCTTCAGGTCCTTATATCAGGACTTTAGAGAGCAGCCAGAGTAAATGAAGAGGGAGTCACGGAAATCCCTAAGCTTTGAATCCCAACTCTAGCTCACCTTACTTATCTGGGCCTCATTTTCTTCCTCTGTAAAATAGGATATTAATACCTGTGTGCTCTCTAGTTTATAGGATTGAGAGGAGTCCAGGAAATGTCCTTTACAGAAAGAGGCTAGGCAGTATGGTATGCCCTAGTAGTCCATGAGGCTAAGGACCATTTGGTGCTACTATGTCGGTTAGAGTTGTGGGAGGGGAGGGTAGGAGAGATAGTTCATGGTTCTGAAGGTGGACAGGACTTTGGAAGTCACTCATCAACCTCTTCCGTTTCTAGGTGAGCAAACTGAAGCCCAGGGAGTTTTAAGTGACTTTCCCAAGTCAAATAAATGCCAGAGTCATGATTAAAATCCAAGTCTTCAGATTTCAGAGCCAGTACCATTCCCCTCTCCCCCCCCCTTACAGGGATTTGCAGTAATGTGTTTATTATAGTAGCTATAATGTTTAAGTGACAGTTCTCCGTTAAAAGTCAGAGCAGTGAAGTGGAAAAAATGCACATGGATTGATTCCTATTTCTCCATTTAGGATTACCGGTGTGACTTTGGCTAAGGCATTTAATCTCAGTGAGCCTCAGTTTCCTCATTTGTAAAATGCAGTGGTTGGGCTGAATGGCTACATGGACCTTAGGGTGCCCTCCATGTATGGATCTAGGAGGAGGATATCCACCTCACTGCCCTTACACCTGCTCACACACCGAATAGTCCTTAGCTCCTGGGTCAGTGAAAGAGGACGGGGATCGTAGAATCTGGAGAGTTCTCCAAGGAGGCACCGGAATGTCTAACTTTGTTTTAGTCCCTTTGTCTCCTCAGTAAACAGAAGCTGGATTCCCGGCTCTCTAGTTCTGGGGTTTCTCATGGTGCAGTCCCTAATCCCTGGCCCAGAGCGAATGAAACTTGATACACCTGGCCCAGCTGGAGGCACCTGCTTCGGGCACCTCCTGCTGGGAAGCTGTCAGCCACGCAAACCAGAGGCCAGCTCTGCAGCCAGCCACTCGCTGAATTCAGTCCGGCGTTAGTCCAGGTGCCTGAGCCTCTCTCCTGATAAAGCCAGCTCTTTCTTCTCTTTACCTGGCTACAGTGCCAGTTCACTGGCAGGCAATACGCCTCCCGTACCCATCGCGACCCCTGCCACTCCGCCCCCAAAAGTAGACCACTTACCGCCGCTCTGTCCCAGTCCGAAAGCCATAGAGAAGAGGCAGGCGGCCCCAAGCACGGGCCCCGGAGCTCGGCGGCCGTTCTGCAGGCACACCATGCCGGCGGCAGTCCAGAGCGCCAAGGCCGAGCCCCACATTGCTAGCAGCGCCCGGCAGGCGGCCCCTCCTGGCGGCTGGCTTCAAGCTCGTCTCCCGCCTCGGTCCGCGGCAAACCGGTTGGGAAGTTTCCTTCAGGGCCAAGTTTCAGTCCCACGTTTCTTCCCGCCCCTGGCAGGGGTCGGTGCCTCGGGGCGCCCTCTCGGCAGGGAGCAGGAGTGGGGCCAGGGCCCGAGCGGGGCACAGCATGTCAGGACGACCGCAGGAATCCGGGCGCTTCGCACAATAGGCTCGAGAGCTTGGCCGGAGCGCGAAGGCGAGGCAGAAGAGGGGGCCGGCGGGGACTGAGAGGGGTGGCGGGCTCAGCCGGGCTGGGGCCCCGCGGCAGCGGCTGTGGCTGCAGTGGAGAAGGGCAGCGGCGGGCGATCCTGCTTCATTCAGAGCGAGCCCTGGAGCCAGCGCGCGGGGGCCGGTTCTGCAGCCCGCGCCCCAGCCCCCGCCCGGCCAGCCCGGGACAAAGGGCTTTTGTTCCCAGCCTCAGCCCGCGGCCGCCCCCGACGGAGCTGCAGCGGCATAAATCAGCTCCGCCGGGAGCTGGCCCCAAACAAAGCGCCTGGGGGAGAGGCGGGGGCAGACGGGGAGAGGCGCCTGGAAGAGAGGGGATGTGGGGAGAGATCTCAGCCAAGCGCAGAGAACGGACAGTCCCAGGCTGGGAAGGGGAGAGGCTCCGAGCTACAGGTGGGCAGTCCCGCCAAACCTGCGCTCCTGCCGTGCGGGGCTCCTTGGCTCCTTGCTCACCTCAGCTTCTGGGACCCTGGCGGAGGGAGGTAATAGACGGCTCCGAAGAGCAGCCCCGGTTCTGGCTGAGCTGGGGAGGCACGGAACCAGTGTCCCTTCCTGGGTAGCAGAAGCCGCGCGCAGGACCGGGCTCCTGTCTCGGCGCACAAGCAGAAGAGACGTCGAGTTTCCAGGCAGGCGGGCAGCGGAGCCTGCTTTGGAGACTAGGTGAAGGGGGCGGGCGCGGGGGGTGTGGTGGGATAGAGGGGCCCCGGGTACGTCCCGGGGGGGAAAGGTAAGAAGGGGCTGGGCTCCCCTCCTCCTCCCCCTCCTCTTCCTCCTCCTCCCTTCGGACAGAAAGAGAGGGAGAGAGAACGAAGGAGAGGCGCTCGCCTCTGTCCAGGCTCAGCAGCCCCCAGAGCCCTGGGGCCTAGAGCGCAGCCGGTGCTGGAAGCAGTTCTCAGCAGAGGGGGGGCTGGGGACGGGGGCTGCTGAGAAGAGGCTCCTGGCTAGGCCTAGCTCGTCCCGTCGAGGCCCCTGGGGCAGCCTGGGACCAGGCAACTTCAGCGACTGGCCAGTTGCTAAGAGACCGGCGAGGGTTCCACACCGGCCGCAGAGATCTGGGCTGGGGCAGCGGCGGCCGCGGGCGCGTGGGCGGGACATTGGTAAAGCATGAAGTCACCGGCCCACACTCTTTCTTTGTTTTGCTCAGCCCAGCGTGTATGTATGTGTGTGTGTTTTCTCTCTCTTCCTCCCCCCGCCCCATTACCCCAGGGTCTGAGAGTGGCTGAACTGTGTCCACATAGCAACTTCGGTAACATTTGCCCCCCTCCCATCCCCATCGGCTTCCCCTTGTGTCCCTCCCATTCCTCCTGCCTGAGCTGCAGCAGTTCGCAGAGCCCGCCTCCCCTCCTTGCCTGTCCGACAGACCGCCAGCTGGTCCCGACGTACTTACTGACCTGGAGCCTCTCCCCCCACCGAGGGGGGATCCCCATGGCTGTCAACTCTCTCTTGCTTCTTCAGATTACACCAAGCGCCCCTGTTCCCCAGCTCTGAAGGTCATAGCCAGGAGGCAGTCTGTGGCATAGGAGTGCGGCCCTCTGCTCTGCTCTTCGCCTGTGGCCAGCCCCTCCCCCGGCTACTCTCAGCCGCTCCACTCCAGGACCGCTAGTGCCCGGGTTCCTCACCCCATCATTAAGTGGTGGCTCGGCTTTCACCCCACTTCAGAGTAGCCTGTGACCACAGCAACCAAGGGAACAAGGAGTTTAGAGACCTCTGCCTTGGCGATCCGGGGAGGTGAAAGACTTCTAAGATACAGAGGGACACAGAAAGATATCAGACTCAGATCGAGATGGCGACAGAGCCACAGAGAAAAGCTACTAAATTATCAGACCTAGAATATGCAGAGAAAAAAATGAGGAAGTGGTGCGAGTGAGCACCCCCCCCATGCTTTTTCACTACCACCCTCCAACTTTGGCCAGGTTGGAAGCCCCGCCTGCCTCACCCTCGTTCCCTGCAAATTTTCTTCTTTCTAAGGGTATTAGCTGTATAACCTTGTTCTTGCAAAGTTAACACGTCCCCCTGCCTCTTAGTTGACTACCCCCACCAAAAAAATATTTACGATATTTGGGACCTATTGGGGCAGGTAAAGGAGAAAAGTTAGCAGTTTCCCCATCTGAGCAACCTGGTGAAGTGGAAAGGGATGGGAGTTGGAGGCAGGAGGCTTGGGGTGGAATCCTTGCATTTTCTTTCCTCCTCCTCCTCTTCCTCCTCCTCCTTCTTCTTTTCTCTCTCTGTCTCTCTCTCTCTTTCTCTCTGTCTCTCTCTGTCTCTCTCTCTCTCTCTCACACACACACACACACACACACACACACACACACACACACACACACACACAAGAATCCATGACCTAATTACTTTGGAAGCTCCCTTCAACAATGAGGACCCAACTGACCCGTTACTTCTCATCCTCCTCACTCTTCTCCACATCCTCCCCTAGGGGGTCCTCTCAAGTACTGGAGGCCTCCTTCCTAAATTCCTCCTGAAAATCGTACTTCAAAGTAAATAGAGGGGGAGGGGACCTAACAGCTCGGTGGATCTGATAGGTCTCTGAAAGCGGCATTGAGCTTGAGTCTTGAAGGTACTTTCTACAGGGTCATAGGACCTAGAATTCTGAAGGACTCTACAGGGCATCTAATCAAACCTCTTCAAATTTTTTTTTCCATATGGGAAAACGTAAGTCTAGAGAGATCACATGGTTCATCTGAGGTCGCACAGTTCATAAAGAGCAGGGTTGGCATCTGACCCCCAGATCTGAAACTTCCAATACACTGACTTCTCGATTCAAATACGATGCTCATTTAAGGCTTCAGTTTCCTATGGAAACTGGAAAATTTCTGGAAAATGAAGGGGTCTAACTATATGATCACTGAAGACCCTTCTAGCTCTAAAGCCTATGGGCTTATGACCAATAGTTTCCATACTCATATTTGCTAAGTAGGCAGCTCTGTTTTCTCTTGCCTAATTGCTAACTGAGGTAGTGGAAAGTACCAAATTAAGTGGCCTCATGCCCAGAAAACTCCCCCAGTTCAGGTGTTGTGCCTTTTACCCACAGAGTAGGTGAGAAAACAGAAGCCAAAAGGTGCTTGGCAACAGATTCCCTCATGAGACTAGTTGTTCTGCCTTCTAGCACTCAGGTGTTTCTGCGCCTGGAAGAAATTCTACTCATCAGAATACTCTGGATCACAAAGGTATCTCGTGGTAAGGGAAGTCCAGGGGTTACAATGAAACAGTTCTGCAACAGAATTCATTAGCTTTTCCCCAAAATCAACCCTTCTTCTTAACTTTCTTGTTTCTGTAGAGGGCACCACCATTCTTCCAGTTCCCCAGGCTCACAACCTTGGGGTCAGCCTTCTACTCTGTATTCCCATTTACACCCTATACCCAATCAGTTGTCCATTCTGTCTCCATGACATCACTTCCCATCTATCCCATGTTCTCTATTCACCTGGCCTCGGCCCTAACTCAGTCCCTCATCAGCTCATGCTTCATTACTGCAATAACAAATGGGTGTCCCTGCATCTTGTCTCTCTCCTCTCCAATCTACCCCCCTTTATCTGCCCAGTTGATCAAACAATATTTATTAAGTTCCAACTTTGACTCAGTTACAATGCTAACTGCTTGGGATACGAAGAGAAAATGGAATAGTTCCTGATCACAAGGAACTTCAATTCCATCAGATGTTCTTCAAGTATGGTTTTCTATATAATTTATATTAACTTTATTGTGTGATCCTGGTTTTTTTTCCCCCCATAGCAGAATGCAAGTTCCTTGAGGCCCAAAGCTGTTTAACATTTTGTCTCTGAATTTCCAATGCCTAACACGTTGCCTAGCACATAGTAGGTGATTAAAAATGCTTGAATTGAAATAAACAAACTTCTGGTAGAGAGCACCCTACAGGAAGCTCAAAATTTAATGCTCTTCCAACCCCCCCCCCACTTTAAACCTTACCCAAGGACATGTATGCTTTGGCCCAACTCTTGTGCAGACTTACTAATCTCGTCCAAAAGAGGAAACCCTTCATCCTGATCTTAAAAGGCAGCATGCACACTTTCCAGAGATCATTTCGCAGACCTTAGGAATGCAGCCACCCTTGAGACTCTGCAGTGCTACAATTAGGAAAAAAAGCATTGGAATTCATAATTCCCAGGAGGACCATGGGTCTCTAAGCAGGCTCAGCAATGCAGACAAACACAGGATTGGATCAGGTCAGATCAGTGCAACAGAGCAGACTTTTGTGCATCAATTTTGAGGCCAGATTGTATAAATCCAAAGTGTCATCTTAGTCACCATATAGATTCAAATGAGAATCCTATTAAAAAAAAATGATCACTAGGAAATGTTTACATTGATGGCTGGCTTTTAGTGAAATTGATTAGGTCAAAGTAATTTTCTTTTAAAGAGTGTTTTTTTATAGCATTTTCTTTTTTTTTTACCCTGCTGTGACTTCCCAATAACTCCCTCTCCCCCCTGCAATTACACATCAAACAGAATGAATTCCTTGAAAAAAATAAGTAAAATCAGGGATAACAAATGAACAAGATGAGCAGGTCCCAAAAGGGATGCCTCACACCTATGGGCCACTACCTATGTTTCATCATTATTCCTCTGAAGCCACAGCCTAATCTTCTGTAACTTTGATGCTCTTTGATGTATTTCTGTCTCTGTTTGTTCTCCCAAAGTAACTGAGTATCGAAGAGGAATATAAGGAGGTTTGTGGATCTATTT